GCATTTGTATGCACAAACCCCCACATGCAGACACCTCATTTCTTAAAATGATAAACATAAAATGTTCAAAGAAAGAAATACCCTCACCAGCATGAGTGCTACCTTCTTCCAAAACTATAGCAGAAAGACTTTGTATGTCATTGCTCTACAGCTCGCTTTAGGCGGCCTGAAATTGGCTTTTCTTGTACAGGCGTTGGTGTCTTACAGATGACTACAACAGCTTCTTTTCCTGGTGGTTGGATCAGTTCTTTTCTGAACACTGACTGCAGTACGGGAAACAAGTTAAGGGGGAGGAGGCTCACGTAGACTCACAGCCTCAGAGGGTGCAGTCAGAGGGAAGGAGGGACCTGCTAAGCAGAGGAAAAAGACCGGTCCGAAGGACGTGCCCAGTGAGCTGCTTCCTGCAGCTAGACCCTACTCTTCGCCCCCTGCGCCGTTTGGTAGTAACTCTGCCGAGTTGTTCACCTAACAAGGAATTAATCCCTCCATAAGTCAGAGCGCCCTGATCTAAAGACCCTTGGAAATGCCTCAGAGGCCCAACCACGGTTCTCAGCCTAAGAGGTTGATAGTTAGGACTGACCATCACAGTGGTGCATGAGATGAGGAGGCCACAGTTGATGTGGGTGACATGGTATGTTTTATGAAATTGGTGTTTGTTGCAGGACTTCATTGAGAGGGCTCTCTTGGACACCAGTGTGCCAGTTACTTCTATCTTCACTTATACAACTTTTAATTTATGAGTTAAATACCATGTTTGAGGGGTTTTAGGATTTCAGGATTCCCAAGATGTTGGAACTTCAAAATGAGTCCCAAGCTTTCGTCATTGGTTAGAGTTAACAAGGGCTGATTCTCCCCTTGTGTCGGGCCAACACATTGGAGGTGTGACCCTGAAAAGCTAGAAACAGTACATGAACTTGAGGAATGTCCTGAGATGAGATGGCAGCTGTTTGTTCCTTCCGGTTCTCTGAACTCTCCTTACTATTATGGAGCCAGGCTTGGATTAAAACAGTCATAAAAGTAAGATTTCTTTATGACATTATATTGCCTTTTTTTACATAGGTGTGTTCATAATTCAATATAGTTTTCTCTTTTAAATCTCATGCTCGAAAATAAAACCAAGAAACAGGCAGATCCCCTTAGAGTTGGAAGCTTTCAGGGAGCAAGCCGCCAGGAGTTACAGAAACCAGTGAGACGTATGCCCTTGTCTGAACGAGGACACGGCGCCCAGACAACACAGGCATAGCCTCTGGACATCACGTTCAGCCAGAGTGAGAATCTGTTGTACACACTCTTAGCCTGCTCGACTCACTGGTGTGGCCTTACGTAGCCTAACAGAGAAAGGTCAGGAAAGGTCAGGGAGGAGGAAAAGAGAGTACACAGCAAGGGCGCCACTCCCCAGGCGTCTGCTAGTGGAGGACATCACAGGGCGAAGACATCCTTTGAGGTAGAAGCTGTAAGCACATTGGTGCCTGGATAGTTGCCGTGGACACAAGAATGGAAAGGACTTAGCGTCTGGGTCCTTTGGAGAAAGTGGTTACCTCCCTCTGCTGTGACCCCAGCGTGGCTCTGGCCTCCTGAAGAAGGAACCGTGTGCACATTGTAGAAGCCTCTGGGATTCCACAGTCAGATGGACAGGGAAGGCTGGCACGTCTTTTATCAGGGTCACGGCAGTGCCTCATGTCTTCTTGGAGATGCTGATGCCTCTGAGAACAGACCAGCAGCGTGCGGGGCCGGCTGTCATTAAGAACGATGGGGATGGCCAGGCAGATGGCTCTAGGTGAAAGTGCTTGCTGTGCAGGTCCGATGGCCGGAGTTTAAACTTGCAGACCCCCCAAGAAAAGCCAGGTCATCTGCAGCCCAGCAGCCTACAGCGAGGCAGGAAGCAGGGGTAAGGCTGGTCAGCCGGAAGCTCCTGGGCCAGCCAGCCTGGATGTCACACCGATACAAACAAGAGACGCCCTGCCTGAAACAAAGCTGAAGGTGGGACAGACTCTGAGGAATTGTTATCTGACCTACACACACACACACACACACACACACACACACGGAAAAATTAAAATGAAAGAGTAATGAGTTAATCATTTCTACCCAGAGAGCAGCAGTCTGGGAATATTGGAGTCTAATGAGTTAGTATCTTTTCAGCTAACATCTGGTGGTCTGTGCGCCACCCAGAAGGCATCAGCACAGTAGGAACAAACTCTGAGTCTATTCTCATCTTTTCTACGGAAGACTTCTGCAGTGTCTTTTTTTTTTCCTAGCAATTATTTTAAGCTGATTCTGCTTCTCTTCCTCCAACCATGCAAAATGAAATAAGAAGTCAGTAGTTTGGTTTTTTTTTTTTTTTTTTTTCACCTAAAATTTGATCTTCTGGGATGTAGAAATGATGGCTCGGGCCAACCGTGAGTGAGCCCAACCTCTTGCTCCACTTAAGGAGAGTGGGTGTCAGTAGTTAGCATATGAGTTGTAGGATGTATCAGCAAACAGACATTCTGTTCCCAGAAAAGGCCTCACCACTCTGCTTTCAGAAGACTGAGCTGAGTGCTGAAATGAGTGCCAGTTACCCACTTCGTCCATTGACGGGGAGTCTCTCCCACCAAGGGCCGCAGCCTCCACACAGCACAGAGAAGCTGAGCGGCTGGGGCTCCAAGTGCTTCCTACAAATTAAAGCTAAGACAAACTTGTGCCCATATATAAACTCGAAATTAATTGGAGAAGTACATCAGCCCATCTGGAGTCTAACTGTGTGTCCACAAATAAAGATCTCGTCTCTGCAGAATCTATCCAAGCAGGCCAGAGTCGGAATGCAGAGAAAGTTTCAGCAAGCCACATCAAGAGCAGTGTGTTTATTTTATCTTCACACGACAGCTTTCCAAAAACTAGGTTTCAGAGTAAGGACTGGACTTTTTCCTCGGCTGAGGAGGACTACCTCATTACCAGTGGGAAAGGTTCCTCACACTTCTGTGTGTGACTCAGGCTGCCCAGATCCTACCCAGCAGACTGGACCAGTTTATACTAGTCCAGACGGGTTCCTTTCTAAAATAGATATTATTACATGGCCTTGGATATTACCAGTCCTATTAAATGACTCCCCCTTCTGCACAGCAACTGCATTCCTAGAGCAAAATTCTGTTGAAATACATCAAAGTATATAATAGTAGCTAATTCCATTTCACAAGATTTTTATTCCACATATCAGAATTATATAGGATTCATAGATTTTGTGTACTGATACACCTTTTATTTACATTCTCACCATCTCCGTTCATTCTTCTGTAGCTCACTCTTACATTTTGTATTAAGAAAAAACAGTTTTGGAAAGAAAGAATATTTACGTTCTCAAGACAGAAGTTCACATTTCATTTTAATACAAATAAAATCAGATCTGATATACATTTGCTTGAGTATCTAACTAACTAACTAGTTAGCGCTAACTAACCATCATGTTCAGAGTAGTACTGGGTTTGTGCCCATGCAGGTAAATGGCAATGCATGATAATCATAGCGGCCCTCACAGTGAGATGGCCGCAGCTGCTCGGTAGAGTGTGTCCAGCACGACGCGGCTGGCAGCCCCATCTGCGGGCGTGATAGAAGCAGGGCAAGTTCAGAACAAATTAGTTAGGCTCAAAGACATTAACGTAATGTATCCATGACCAAATCCGGGAACTAAAATCATGAATTCTGTAGAAGAAAACACAAGGTTAAACCTCCACAACCTTGAGTTAGATGATAGATTCTGAGATGCAGCAACCCCCAAAGTATGAGCAACAAAAGAAAAATTAATAAATATAATAAAAATATAAAAGATTTGTGCGTCAGAGAAAATAGGGAAAAGATGAGAAAATGAGGGCAATTATTGGCATAGCGTATATCTGACACGGGCGTAGAGTCAACACTATGAGGACCTGTTCAGCTCAGTAACAAAAGGTGAGTAACTATATTGCACTGAAAAATTACTCGAATAGGTATTTCTTAAAAGTGAAAATAGCCGCAGTAGGTGGAGAGAAATGCCCAACGCTGTAGCTTTTAGGCAAATGCAAATAGGTAGCAGAATGAGGCACCGCTTGGGTCACATACGGGTGACTACAAAACAAGCGATTGAGAACAATAAGTGCTGGCAAGTAAATGGTTCTGCCACGGGACACGGTTCACACGCTGCAGAGCCACAGGAGACCCCAAATTCTACCTCTGTGTATGCACAGACGTGGATTGGAAGCAGGATCTGTGTATGTTTCTGGGTATGCATGTCGGGAGCAGTGTGCCTCACCAGATGTGGACAGCAGGCACAGGCATTGGCAGTCCCAGGCGCACAGTATCGTTTTATATGTCCAGTGGTGCTCATCCAGAAAGGTGAATGGTGGCACGTGCTTATCATCCTAGCACTCAAAAGCCTGAATCAGGAGAATTGTGGGCTCCAGGCCAGCCACGACTGGAGACCTTGCTAAAGAAAGAAGAGAAGAAGAAAGGGAGACAAGGGAGGAGCAGAGAAGGGGAGGGAAGAGATGGAAACTGACACCAGCTCCGAAAGGAGTGAACTTCAATGCAGCACTCTAACGAAAGAAGCCTCTCAAAAGGTCACATGTTTTCTGTGACTATGAGATATGCAGAAGAGAAAAGTCTGCAAACACAGATGGAAATTGGAGGCTACTAGGGCTGAGGAGTCGGGGAAGAGGCGCTTGGGGAGACTGCTTAAATGCTTGTGTGATGGAGGTGTGTTGCGCCCCAGTGGAGGCTGGAGTTGGACGACTCCCTGAAAGTATTATAAGCCACTGCGATTTCTACTTCCAAATGTTTATGTTGTATAGTATGTATTATCATCTCAGTGAAACATCAGAAGGGTTCAATGATAAAAACCGACTGCAATTGTCCGCCCTATTCCAGAACTTCTTAACGAGCATGCGTGTTTCCATGACGGTAGCTGGAGGGCTCTGGAGTGGAGACTTGGTTCTATATAATGACTGATAAGAGAATTAATTGATAATTCTCTTTTTTTTTTTTTTCAGGACTCTCAACTTGTTTCCTCTGGACACAATAATCCAAGTAAGAATGTCTCTCTAAAGCTTTCTGGGGATGGGGAGGGAAAGATGAGCAGTAGGTTTCAGAGAAGCCACTGGGAGGCAAAACCAAGTGAGGAAGAGAACCTCTTGTTCAGGGTGTTTAAGGGAGAGGAGAGCCAAACACAGAGCAGTGCGTTTCGGAGGGAGTCCAGAAGAAAAGAGCAGCATGTTCTGCTGGCCCTGGTATGTGTGAAGGAAACAAATGAAAAGGCAAGTAACAAGATGCCTAAATTACAAGAAAATGAACGCGCAAAGAAATCCAGTCAGGAGCCTCACAGTAAATTACCTCAGGCCCCGTGAAAGAAGCCTACGCTTGCTAAACATGCGGTGCCTTCTTCCAGAAATAGGCAGGCTAGACTGGGCAGGAAGTCGTCTCCTTATTGAATCAGTGGCTAATGAAGCACATGAGCTCTGCCATCCAAGAGGGGAGAGCTCTGTGGAGAAGAGGTTTAATTCTCCTCCTTGGCCCTACAGATTGGTATTAATGTTGTCTGGGGCATTAAAAATGCATAAGCTGTCCTGCTCATGTCCTAAAAGCAGTCGTAAAGACCAGGCTGTGTTGGCTTCATGGGCAGCCAGTGAGCTGGGAACATCGTTTGCTACTTACAAAGCTCATTTGGAAAATAAAAATCACTCTGAGTAGCTAGGCGTGTCTGTGGAACTGAGACTCATCCACCAGACATCTGTGAGGCAGGAGACTTTGGGAGAAAAGATTTCCACATAGTACACTAGGAAGCTCCATAAAAATCCATGTGCAGGTTTAACAACAACAACAACAAAGGTCAGGTGGAAGAATGATGACACCATGGCATGTGGTGTCACTTTCCCACCCTCTGTTTGGCTTTTGGGGGGAACAGGGGTCTTTGTAAGACTTCTGTGACAAGATACTCAATTTCAAATAAGCTTCTGTTTTATAGTATTAAGGTACTAAACATGGCACTGTGTGCTCACACTTGAAAACGCATTGTGTGCGTCTGCATTGTTAAGTTAGCGGAAGGCCTGCTTGGTGGTGGGAAGGGTGCATTGATCATGAGTGCTTTCTCCTCTGCCATTTGGATCCTCCCTCAGTGAGGTGATGCTATAGAAAAGGGACTAGATCAGCAGCAGCCCTGAGCACAGCACAGGAGAGAGTGGCATCTGAAAAACAGCCTGAGCAGCAAAATTATAACTCACACAGAAAAAGAATCAACAAATTATGTGTGTCAGTATGGGGAAAGAGCCCTTGGGAGCTCATAGGCAGGCTCTGTGTCACCATTGAATCCCAAGAGAGCAGGTGGATTATCATGATGGACAGTGGGACCTTTCCATACAGTCACCCTGAGTTCCCATCCTAGCTAGTGTACACTAGAACCTTCCATTTCATTGTCCTTTTGAAAAGTTAAAACACACACACACACAAAACCACAGTAATGTTTGCTTAAAAGATTAACAATTAATTAGATTACCTACAGAGAAACAGAACAGACTCTAAAATGGCACCAGGTATGAAGAGTGGGCTTAATTCAGTGATTGGAAGGGTTAGCAAGATGCCTAAGCAAAACTTCTGCAACCAGACATAAAGTCCTCGCGTTTTTGTTAGGGAACAAAACAAGGACTTGGGCTCACAGCTTACCTGCCTGTCACTCTTCCTTGTGACGTTCCAGCCAACATATGCTGTCCTCTTACAGATCAATCTATCTCTCCCCACAAGGCAGAGGTGTTCTAGAAAACCCCAATCACTACTCCGATGCAGAAATCGACACCTCTCTTGAGATGACCAAAGAAAATCAGAGGTGCAAGTGTTAGCAAGTCTGCAGAAAGACCTGTAATTAACTATAATGGGATCTGATGCCCTCTTCTGTCATGCAAATAGAGCATTCATATACATGCAAATAGAGCACTTATATAGATAAATAAATAAATCTTTTAAAAAAAGAAAACTGAGCTTAAGAAATTATAAAGAACACTGCATAGGAAACCAAAAGCAGAAAACAGAACATGGACGTTCAGAAGTCTACCTCATGCCTGCCTAGAATTCCCAAAACAAGTGTCAGTGGGGGCAGCAGCGAAGGCCATGGCAGCTGAGAATTATCCACATGGGGTGCTAACCCAAAGGTACCTGGTACCTGAGAGACTAACACGATAAACGGAAAGAAGCCCACATCTGTACTTTACTGTAAGATGTGGAGGAGAGAGCTTTAAAATGCCCTTGAGGTAATGTTGTTTACAAGAAAGACGGAGACCCTCCAGAGTCGGCAGACAGTGGCAGTTTAGCTGCAGCCAGCTGAGGGGACGCAACTATCAAGTGAAAATGTCGGTGGCTAAAGAGATGGCTCACAGTTAAGGGTGGGCACCACCCTTGTAGGGTCAGGGTTGGGTCTGAGCTCACAGCGCATGTAAGCCCAGATCCAGGAGATGCAGCACCCTCCTCTGGCTTCCTTGTGTGGCTCTACACGGGTATTTAAATTATGTTATTTTAAAGCTAGGTAATTGTTCCAGCACTCAGGGAGGCAGAAACAGGTGGATCTCTATGAGTTTGAGGCCAGCCTGGGCTACAAAGTGGGTCCAGAACAGCCAAGGCTACCCAGAGAAACCCTGTCTCAAAAAACAAAAACAAACACACACACACAAAGAAGCAAAAAAAAAAAAAAAAAAAAAAAAAAAAAAAAAAAAAAAAAAAAAAAAAAAAAAAACCTAGGTAATTGAAGGCAAAATTAGATGAAATTAATGTTATAGTATGTTTTTATATTTGTCTAATTTTAAAATTTAAATACTTTTCTGTAAAATTTTCACATACATAACCTGAGTAATCCTACAACCATTTATTTGAAAAATGGCTCAGTCATTTTACATGTGGTAAAGCTGGTTGCTTTTCACTGAGAATCCCACCAAACACAAGAAGACCCAATTTGAGCTGGACCCTCTTTAAGAGAGCCCAGTCAGAAGGTCAGCCATGCCCTACTCACTTGGGCCAGCGTAACCATGATAACATACAAGAGAAAACTTGTAAACTGATTTCTTAATGACCCCAGTGCACAAGCACCCTAAGAAAATGTTGCTAATTAAATCTAGCAAAGTTTAAAATACATTCCAACATGTAATTATTAAGAAATCCTGTTCTAGTAATTCAAAATCAGACTGTTCAAATACAGTGTAACTCATGGTTGTAATTATAAGAAGAGAAAATATGATCCAAGACACTGAGAAAGTACTTGATAAAATTCTGTATATGCGATTCAGAAGAAAATGCCTTAGCCAGCAGGGAATAGAAGACAGCTCCCACCCATGAGCAGGACTGGAGGCTGAAAGGACAGAGCTGTGTGGAAGCGGGCAGCTCTCTCTTCAGATGCTTCCCGCACCTTCGAAAGCTGAGGCAGAGGCAGAGGCAGGCGCCAGATAACAGACCCGGCAGGGCAGAATCCTTAGTCACAGCCATAAATTAGGAAAAGGGAACGCGCAGTGTTCATTAGGGCGGAAATGCCAGAACTCGGTTCCCCAAATGATGTGATCATCAATATATTGATAGAGCACTTCAAAACCCTACTGGTGAAGTATTAGAATTAATAAGAAATTTTAACAGTGCTGTGTTCACAGTTGCATTCTCTTGATTTAAAAAAAAAAAAAGAAGAAAAACTGCAGCTGAAAATACCTGACATTGGCCTAAAAAACATAACTTACTAAGCAATGAATCTGACAAATGTGTAAAAGAAAGTGATAGAAAAAAATTTGTAAACTATTGAGAAATATTACAGACGACCTAAATAAATAGTGACTAATATCAGGTCCGGGCATCAGAAGGCACAGTATTGTAAAGACTAACGTTCTGTGCGCACTGAACTTCAGATTCAGCAGAATGCCAATCAAAATTCAGACGTTAGTAGATAAGGAGGTTGGCCAGCTGGGCCTCAGGTTTACAGGATAGAGCAAAAGATAAACACGTGGTAAACACGTCCATGAAGAATAACAGGCTGAGCCATGTCTCACCAGTGTTGAAAGCATCCAGAGCTACGTAGTGCAGGTAGCAGCAGACAAGGGGAAGGAGCACGAACACATGGAAACTGGGCTCCCAATGAGGCCAATGCTGGAGGTCAGTGAGGAGAAGCAGGTGCCCAGAGCCACAATCCCTGGGATGGGAATCAATGGAATTTCCCTCACTTTGCACCATTTGAAGTACTTCTCAGAGACCAGCAACACTATGAACTGAAGATGGTAATGGAGAGACTTATTTGTGTCTTCAGTAAATATGTAGACATCAAAGAAGCTATTTGGAAATACCAATTTTTTTAAAGTTAAAAGCATAGTTCAGTCAAAAAAATCTGACAGTGTAAAAGGAAAGTTACAGCTGCTTCTACTTGTGAGAGAACGGATGAGAGGAACAAGCTGTGGGTGAGCCTGAGCCTCTGGCTTCACATCGCGTAGAAATAGAAGCCCAGGGGCTACAGAGATGGCTCAGTGGTCAGGAGCACTTACTCCACTCCCAGCACCCGCCTGGCAACTAACAACTGTCTGTACTCCAGCGCCAAGGAGCACAGACGTGCTCTTCTGGTCTCCACAGGCGCCACACTACTGTGGCGTACAGATGTGCAAGCCGGTGAAACGTCCACATACCTTAAATGCACAGTTATTTTTGAAAAGAAGCTGATTAGTCAAGAAATAGAAGCTTATGCTCTGTCTTTTCTTCAGAGCATGCAAGTCTTTGACTTCCTTTTAATGTGAGAAACAAAAGGTGGAACACACTTCAGGTTGTAAATGCTAGAAACGCTGAAAGTAACCAGTGGACCAGTGAAAACTATGGAGGGACTGTTTAATACATTAATGAAAATGGCATTATCTAAAGTAGATACATCTAAAAATAAAATATATATATATATATTAGTATTGCTTGGAGTGGTGATTGAAGGGTAACAGAATTAAAAACAGACACAAGTGAAGTCACTGGCATTTTCTGTGCTGGAATTCTCTTTGACCGTGAGTGTGAATTTCCTGTGATACAATTGAGGAAAAAAGTGACAACGCAGCCAAATTTTCTTCTGCAGAAAACTCAGCACAACACGTGTCCCTCTGGGGGACTTTTTCTAGTATCTTAGAAAAATTATTTTGATAACATTTCAGTTAAAAATTTGAAAACAAGACACAGTTCCTCATAATCTTATTAGAGACTGCTTATCTCCCAATGTCTTTAAAAGAATGTGAATTAGATTTTCTTTTCTTTTCTTCTCTTCTCTTTTTTCTCTTCTCTTCCCTTTTCTTCTCTTTTCTTTTCTCTACCTCCAGCAGGCCGAATACCAGGTACAGTGGAGCCCTCAGTCTGTAATCAGTGACAGAGGAAGCCATTCTAATGATCTAAGTGTCCTGTTGAGTGACTGATCTATCTCAGGCCTCAACTGTGTCCATCTCAGGGGTGACTGCACCTTAAGAATTCGAGCTACCTTCAGCCCAGAGGTCTTCCACTTTCCCTGTTAGCGACTGGGCATCAGGAGATGCATGTGAAACTGAAAATGTGTCACATACACACACATAGCTGGATGGGTGGGTTGATGGAGGAAGAAAGGAAGGGTAAGTGAGAAGAAAGAGAGAGAAAGGAAGGAAGAAAGGAAGGACAGCAGAAGGAAGGATGGATGGGAGGGAGGGAGGTGGATGGATGGACAGATGGATGGATGGATGGATGGATAGATGACTCAGTGAATAAAAGTACTTGTTACCAAGCCTGATGACTTGTACTCAATCCCTGAGATGTACCACAGAGCCCACATGATAGAAGGAGAGAACCAGCTCTCACAGATTGTCCTTTGAAATGACTGTCCCACCCTCACATATACACAAAATAAATAAATAAAATGTTCATATATAGGATAATATTTTTATAGACATTTATGTATTTGCATACATTTTCACAGATCTGTACAATCCTTTCTATGGTTTATTGTCCCCTTTCCTCTCTGCAATTCTATTTCCATATGCAAAATGACCACCCTGCACCTCTTCTGCCGTGCTTTTTAATGAGCAGTGCAGACGCCCTCCCAATGAGACCTGAGCAGTGGCTTCCGAGAGCCACGTGTAAGGTGACTCCTTGTGGGGTCCAGCCTGCCACCTGCAAACCTTTGGTCCTGTGACTGTCACTCTCCCTGGTGGCCGGGTGAAATGATGATGGTTCTCAGCAGCTCATACCCTTGAACATTTCAACTTAACATCAGAAATTGCATCACCTAAATTTTCAGACATGTCGGAGCTTTAATTTGCTCGTGTTTTCTTCCTGAAAGACAAAAAGGAAAAGAAATGGTATTCCCTGTGTCAGTCCTGGCCTGGTTTTTCCCAAGAAAGTACCCTCCCTTTGAGCGCTGAGGTCGCATGAGCACCTGCCGTCAGACCGCTCCTGTAAATGTCCCGTTTGGCCGGCATTACCCCTCCTGTTTACTAGAACCTGTTCTGTTTTCCCTGTTGCCACAACATAAGTGCTGCTAAGAGCAGAGATAATCAGCTGCAGTGTGGTCCCCATGCTCAAGCCAGCCAGGACACCTGCAACCCCCTGATCCCATGTGCAATCCAGCCTGGGTCCTCCCAGCCTCTGGGCCACTTGGCAGCATTATTGGTCAAGGTAAAACATTTACTCAGATGTCCAAATGTTGTCTTCCTTTAGCTTAGAATGAGTCCTTGTTTTCTGACGTGAACTGTTGGAAATGTTTACTGTCTCCTGAGCCTGTTTGATGTCCTCCATTTGTAATGGTGCCTTGGTGTAACTGTTGACAGCTGTTCCCTGGGAAAAATAACCCATTTCTCCAAACTCGGGGGAGGGGAGAGGAGTCGATGAGTATGAGAGGAATTAAAGCCTCATTTAATTCTGTCTTGCACAGCACAGATGCTATGACTGTATTTGGGATTCCGGCAGGACTGGTGCTTGTTCTGGAGCTATGGTTCTGGAAGGTGCTAAATTAGGTTATTTTCTAATGCAGGCCCCTTAACCAGGCCTTACATGTCTCCTCAACGAACATACCACAGCTCTTCCCAGAAGACCCAACCTAATATAAACTCACAGTATTAGAGTAAGCGTCTATTTTGTTGACTTCTATCCGAACATGGTTTCACCTGGGTCAGGCACCAACTAGTCAAGTTAGTGTTGACATGGGTGTTGTGGCTTCTTCTTTGTTTCTCCTCGATGAATGGGTTTGGAACTGCGCAGCTGTCTCATGAGTGTTCTGCACAGTGTAGACACGCGGCACAGAGTCATATCTGAGATAGAGGTCTATCGCTGTCCTCCCGTACTCACAACTGTTACATCCCTGCGAGAAGATGCAGAGTGGGGTTTTGAGCTCAGCTTGGCCAGTTTCTTCAGGATATGTCCGTTGTATATTCCGGGAGGTCATTCCTAAAACGAAATGACCACAAGGCCGTGTTGAGTGAGGACACATTAAACTTCCTATCATAGTCCAGTGTTTGGGGAGAAGGGGCCAGGTAGAAGCAGAGGATTCTGGGATGTGTCATGCTGATGTGAATGCAGAGCAAAGAAGATGAGCTGCTGCCACTGGGCCCGTCTCCTGCAACTCAAAACTTCCCGTTAGATTTGCTCAACAGTTGGCACTGTGGAGCCATTTGTAACCACAGCATGAACAGCTTCTTCCGTCCATTGCCACAGGAGTTCCTTACAAAATGAGGGTGCACATTTCAAACCACCAGTTGGTCCAGGATTAAGTATTACCTTATGCCTCTTGTGAAAAGAATTTGGACTGCTTCCAAACTTCTTAAACTAAATCTCCAACAGCCACGTCGCATAGAAATGTTCCTTTCCCTGCCTCTCTGATGGTCAAAGGGATTTCTGGTTTATATCTCATTCTGCTTTTATTGGGAGCCCCAAAAATCTGCTGCCAGAGTTCTCCGTGGCATAAAATTGTTGAACATCTCTCTACTATGGCTTCAGTGTTCTGTGAAATTCTCTCCAAGTTCCAATTCAGACTGACCCCATTTGGCTTGTGTTAGCAGGAGGAATCAAAGTTCAGAGTGCCTTGGATGTACAACGCTAATGAGTTTATTTCCTTACACTTTCTGTAAAATGTAGTGGAGAGAAACTGATTCCATCTGTAAGATACTCATCTCCTGGCAAGGTCCGCACTCCATGTCTCTGCTTGTTTGCAAATAGCTCCTTGGTACCTACTCAGGGCCCTGTGCCTGTGCAATTGTATTGCCAAAGTGAAATTATTTTTCACATTTGGTTCTCAAACAATAAAAGATGTTTTAAAAGCCTCCCGCTGCACATTTTGAAAGCTTGTTAATAGGAGCATAGAAATATGTTTAATCTTAAATCTTAAGGGCTGTGGGACTCATGTTGGTGTTTTTTTTCCCCCTCCACTTCCTTTTTAAGAGAAAGCTGACGCGGAGCCAGAGAGTCCAGACAATGGTACATCGAATACCTCGTAAGTGTCTTTCTCATTTCTCTCTGAGATGACTATTCTTTAATATGCCTTAAAAAACGAAACAGTGCAAGTATCTCGTAACAGTGGTAATCATAGGGAAAGGAGGCCCATGGTTCTCTTTTTTCATGATAATGTCTTTTTAAATGCTTTCGGGTACAGATGCATTTTGAGGTTTTATGCTTTAGCACAGAAAAAGGGATCTTGCAAATGCAAATGTTCTTCTTTATAAGGTAGAAATATAATTAGGCTAGGGAGTGTGTACTAAGGGAGAATGGAGATAAGCCCTTTAAAACTTGGCTGGAGACTTTTAACACTGACATAAGATTTGCAGAACTTTTCGCGCATACCGGGGACATTCTGTCTCGCGTGCCCGTGAGTACCCAAGTCATTTCGAAAGCCTGCCTGCCATCTGCAGTCCCCTACCCCAAAATACGTGACAAAACAACTATAAATATCTCAGATCTCGAGTGTTCACTGATGTTTTTACATAAAGCAATTTTTAAAGATGAGAAAAGACGCTTAGAAGGCTTTTGCCCCCCTCGTCCTTACGTATTCTTTTCTTTCTCAGGATTGAAGGACTGTAAGTATGTTCTTAGTGATTGATATGAGATGAAGTTGAGGTGCTGGAGCTACAGAAACAGCTCAGTTGGTAAAAGTGCTTGCTGAGGCGTGTGGAGCATGCCCATATTCCAGGCTGGGCAGGCAGCAAAAGGCAGACCCACAGGGTTCCCCAGGAAGCCAGTCTAGACTGCTTGGTGAGCTCCAGGCCAGTGAGTCCAGGCCCAGTGTCAACTAATAATGATGTTTCTTATTGTTGTTATTATTATTATCTGATACAACAGTACTCAATTGCAGTGAAGCAGAAACTAACAAACAAATGGCTTCCATTAATGGCTTCCTCCTTTAAAATGTTTATTTTGATCACCTCTGGGGAACGAAGCGTGTTTTGTTATGGAAATGACTTTGTGACTGTATCTCTTTCCGGGTCAGTGCTCTCATTACTAGCACCTGAAATGTGTGCCCTTCATTAGCAGTCATGGTTTGCATGGCGTCACGTTCTTATTCTGCGCAAGATCTCTTTCCGTCTAGAGCGTGCCTCTGGCTTGCGTGACGTGGATACATGTTTTACACTACATGTCTCAAAAGGTTGTGTTTCTCAAGAGACGACCCTAAAGGTTCTAGTGAGTTTCATTGTTTTTTCTCAGAAACAAAAAATATAACGGTTTTAAATGGTTAAAATATTGCCAGTTTTAAATTGTGCTATAGAATATAATGGGAAAAGAGTTTGAATGCCATCTGGAGGCATTCTAAAGAACTGAAAAGAGTAGAGTCACTGGAAAATGTCGTCATTTTGAGTACCACTTGGCTGACATAAAAACATATACAACTAGAGTGTAAACTATTGGTGTAAGTTGTGTTTTAGTCATTATTTGATAAAAGCATTGATTATTATGAAAGCATCAGTCTTTGAAATGCTTAACAAAATTGTTTTTACAGTTGGACAAAAGAGCATCAAAACTATAAAACTGTCAGCATATTATACTTAACTTTACATATTTTAAAATCCTATTCACCAGACACCAGTTTGACTCATGCTATTTGATGTGCTGTTAATGACTCCTTCATCCATTCACTATGCATTTCTATAACATCCACTCCCTAAAATAAGTAGGTTATGCAGGGAGTTAAGGATATCAGATCCTTGGCACCCCTCCCTTCCTTTCTGTCACCTGCTTCATGGTTGCCACTGAAATCACAGGAAACGTGAATAGAGCCGAGTTTGCCAGAGTCTCTTAAGAGTGGGACACTGTAGGCCTGGAGTCTCTTGGAACCCTTGCATAGTCCTTGTGTTTCGCTCAGGCAAGAGGAGTACTGATTCATGCCTCACACATTAGCAGCGTGGACATTCTGGTTCATGATGTACGCCTTCTTACACCTGTGTATATGCTTACCTACACGCACAGCACAGAAATGTACACATACAGCCTTCGCTTGAGTTTTACCGTGATAGCTATAGCGGGACACTCTACTCATTGCACATGGGAAGTCTGAAGATCAGAAAGGTTGTCCAATTTAAAGGATAATTAGAGCATAAATGGGCCTACCTGCCATGCTTAGGAATGTACAGTCTTGAGACAAAGTCAGGCTGTGCACTGGAAGGAAATTTTAAAAAATTGAACTATTTTTGGTTGGAGACGTGTAGCCATTGTGGGCTACTGTTTGCAAATTATCACGGACTAGATAGCTTAAGCAAAGGGAATGTATTTCCCACAGTTTTGGAGACTGCCAGTCCCAGATGAGGGCTTTGGGGAGTGTCTTCTGACAGCTGGAAGGGAAGGCTCCCTCCCTGTGCTCCCGACCTTATCCCCTTCCTGACCCCCCCATATGGCTTCTTCTCCCCATGTCTTCACTCCGTGTCTCCGTTGCAGCCTTCTCTGGGTCCCTTTCGCAAGGACAGCAGCCATGTTGACTAAGGCCTACCTTGTTAACTTTAGACCTCACCCTGACGGTTTCATTTTAACGTGATTACTTCTATAGAGTCTGTCTCAAAATGAGGTCACATTCTGAGACATTAGTTGTGGTCTGAAAAGAAAGTGTCCCCAGGGGCTCTGGTTTCAGTGTGCGGCTACCCTCAGCTGCTAACACTATTTGGGAAGGTTTTGGAGACATTAGCTCTGGGGCTTAGATGCTCACATGGGAGGAAATCCTTGAGAGTACCTTGTTCTTGTCCCTTCCTCTACTTTCCATCCACCATGAGGTGAGAAGCTCCTCTGCCACACTTCCCCACCTCATGACTTACTGCCAAAGCTCATGGGGCCAAAATGTGGGCTGACCCTCCAGACTATGCGCCAGGATAAGCATTTTTCTTCTTTAAATGTTTGGGTTTTTCCTGCTTTTTTTTTTTTTTTGTCACAGCTACATAAAAATAACCAGCGTTGTACTAAAGTTAAAACCTCAACATGTTGGGGAGATGTCTCAACCCTCTGTGACCTTCAGTAACTGAAGGTCAGACTTAGGAAAGGGGATGCTCAGGAACCAGAAACTAACAGAAACAGGATGTACACGTGTCAGAGCAAGGGCCAGAGGAGGAGAGAGCTTGAATAAAACACGTGAAAAGTTACAGACTCCATGTCGGCCAAGTGGATTTAAGCCGAGGCCTCTGATTGGACAAGCGGTGGGGGTAGGGGGGCACACCTGCAATCCCGGCACTTGGGAGGCAGGAACAGGAGGGCCAGTGCTAGTTCGAGGCCAGTCCTGGACTCCAGGCTGAGCTCCAGGACAGCTGCAAGCCACGGACACGCAGCAGATGGTGTCAGGAAACGAAGAGTTGGGAGGCCAAACGCAGTTTCTGCAGCTGTGTGTGCGCCTCATCATGATGAGCTCTAGGCGTGCCTCGAATGGTGGGACGGAGGGATGGAGGAAATACCTGCGATTTCCTTCAGGATTAATGATCCAAGAATTTGAGAAGATGAAAGGAGTGGTTTAATGTTTAGGCCCAAACAAAACCCTAAATATCTGTGAAAGAGTTTCAGTTACATTTAACAACGGAAAAACTCATGTTAGACGAATTCTCCTCCTCTGAGAATTTGCAAGACTGTTTGAAGTCTAACTTTTTAAGGCAAAGTACGATAAATGTGATCCTGGGAAGAAGCAAAGAGGACGGAGTGAGAAGGACTTAGTTCCTTCCCTGGGGACATGCAGTGGCATGCAGCCACCCAAGGAGCAGGAGTCAGGGCCGGAAATCACACTTGCAGTGGATCAAATCTGCTGTTGTAAAATTGTGTGGTAATGAGGGGAAGACATTTCATAAAGGAAAAAGCCACAAGAAAGAGACCCCCCATCCTGTATTTAAGTCCCCACAAGTGCTTTAATGGCTGCTAATTTACATAGGTGTGGGCAGGGTACCGGTGAGCCCAGTACAGTCATAACTAGAAGGCTGAGAGGGAGCAGCAGAGACTTCAGATACCGCCTGGAGCTGGGACTTCAAACTCACCCAAGACACAGGTGCTGAGTAAACTTGAGGTTTCCGAGGCCCAGAAGAACCAAGCTTTGAAAGTTAAGTCACCTTGAGGCTGAGAGACAGTTTGGTGGGGAGAAGCACACACTGCCCTTGCACCTCATAACGAACGGCCTGTGACTCCATCTCCAAGGGAGCCAACGCTGTGCTGGCTTCTGTTCGGATAGCTTGACACAAACCGAGTCATCGGAGAGGAGGGGATCCCAACTGAGACCCCAGTATTCATGGTGCAGTACCCAGGGACATCACCGGAAACAAGGCTGAGCAGAGCTTAACTAGCCAAAAAGTGATGCAGACATTTTAAAAACAGGTGAACAGGAGAACCGACAGGACAAAAAGAGCAGAAGCAAACAGCGGGAGACGCCAGCAGGAAACCGGTAAATCTCAACCTGGCTGCAGCAACTGTGTTACATGTAAATAGAGTAAAAACTCCACTCTACAGAGCAAATACTGTGCTGGCTATAGAGTCAAGAGGGATTATTGTCTGCAGGTCCCACACTTCGAGTCTAAGAAGACAAACTGAAGCCTTGAAACAAAAACAAACAAACAAACAAGTGACTGTTTCTATAACAAGTGCAAGAAAGCTGGAGCATGTCTTAGTACTATTGTCAAATAGTTTCTAGGACAAAGGACCTGATAATTTTAAGGCATTGACAAAAGTCCTAGTGCTAATGAGGAAGGTGTGATATTCATAGGTATATATGTACCAACCGACTCAAAAGTCATGACAAAGCGGAGTAGGCTAGATCAGAGTTACATTAACTCTTTCTATGGTGATTGGGAGTGTGCGTACGACTTGTCACCCAAGAAGTGCAAACACAGAATCTTTGCAGCGGCACAGAAACACCACTCAAAGGTTGGGCTGAATCTGAGCACTGGAAACGATGAATCAATAAACTTTTGAGTATGGAAATGCCGCAGCTCATGCTCCATGATCACACAAAGTAATTGTATTGTAAGTCAGCAGCAATAAAGTATAATT